GGTGGGAATGTAAAGTGGTGCAGCTGCTGTGGAAAACAGTTTGGCAATTCCTCTAAAAGTTAAACATAGAATCACCATAATGATCCAGCAATTAGCCGGGCATGGTGGCACATGCCTGTAGTCCCAGCTACTCGGGAGGCTGAGGCAGAAGGATCGCTTGAGCCCAGGAGTTTGAAGTTGCTGTGAGCTAGGCTGATGCCATGGCACTCTACCCCAAGCAACAGAGTGAGACTCTGTCTCAAAAAAAAAGAAAAAAAAAGGGATCAGTCATTGCCAGAGATGTAGGGGAAGGGAGAGAGGAATGAATAGGTGAAACACAGAACTTTGGGGGCAGTGAAATTCTTCTGTATGGTATTATAATGGTGTATACATGCCATTATACATTGGTCAAAACCCACAGTACATACATATAACACAAAAAGTGAACCTAATGTAAATGATGAACTTAATAATAAGTATGATGAAGTTAATAATAATGTATCAATATTGGCTCCTTCACAGCTTAAACTACCTTCAAAAAACAACAACAACAACAACAACAAAATATTGACTCCTCAGTTGTAACTACTACTGTAATGCAAGATGTTAATAATAGGGGAAACTCTATGGGTCAGGGACAGGAAGAGAGTATACGGGAACTCTCTATACTTTCCACTCAATTTTTCTGCAAGTCTAAAACTGCTCTAAAAAATAAATTTTAAAAAAGAAGACTATAATATGAATATTTTTGTAAGTTGCTTTTTTCACTACTATGTTCATACATTATTAACATCTTTCCAGGCATTTAGCCTGGACAGGCATAGGCAAGTTAGAGGGTGGCAATAGGAAGGTTAGCTAAAGGACAGAGTCAAGGCTGTTGAAAGAGGACTAAGATTCAGGGGATGTGCAATTTAGAGGCAAGGGATGTTTTATTCCAAGCCACACAGAGAAGAATTTGAATGGACCCATGGGGATAACAGCCCTTGAGTCTGAGGATCCCCAGTGGGCTGGAATTTTGAGCAGGGCAGGGAGTTTCTGCTCCCGCTCAGAGAGTCCTTATCCCCTGATGGCAAGAGGCTGGCATGACAGGACTAAACAAAGCAAGGAGATTCTCATACATTCACTCCTGTATTTTGTGACCTCCCTGCTAGGGCAGAATGAACAGATACAAAGGTTGTGGTCAGTTGCCTGAAATTACCATGACATAAATGGGCTGGGGCAGGCAGGAGCCTGTGGGGAACCATGCGAAGAGTCTGCTCAGCCCTAAACCAGGATGTGTGCACGCTAACCTCACCTCCCACCTAATGCTGCTGTGACCCTTCTGAGTCAATTCCCTTCATTCTGTTTCTTCCTCCTCCATGACTCTCTGCCCAACTCCCAGCAGGGAGGATGTGCCTAGAACAAAACCTCCTTTGATCTCTGGGGATGCTTCAGGAAAACAGCTGTTGAGTGTTGGCTCAGCAGGCCCAGATCTTGTGCCTCCCTGCCCTGAGGGCTATTTAGGGACTGCCCCCATACCTTAGGCATAGAATCACCATTCACAGGAGGGACACATCTTCCCTTCTGAGCTTTTTGCATCTTCCTAGCAGTGGACACATTGTGCTAAATGCCAGAGTCCTATCAAAGGAAGCAAGTCCTGCCACCACTTCCTCCTGGTTTGATGGGATGGTCAGTGATCCTGGATTTCCTTAGGAACCAGGGTCATCCCACTGTTGCTCATGACACATCATAAAGAAGCCACAGCACTTCCTGCCCCTTCTGCCACACTTGGTTCCTCTGTCATAGGTCAGAAGGGAAATGCAGAGGTGCCACCTTCTGAGGGATATCAGGTGGCCAAAACAGAGGTTCATTCCATCTGCTAAGGACACCCCCTTTGTCTTCCTGCTTCCCAGTCCTCTCCTCCCATCCCCAAATCCTCCCTGGTCCCTTGCTGAACCCTAGGATGCCACCCCTGCCATTTCTTCATCTTCAGCCCCAGGCTCTTGCTCAGGCTCTGAGCAGTTAGAGCTTTCTCTGTGATCTCTCCTGCTGCTCCAGTGTTCCAAGAGCACCTGCCTCACACACATCAGCAGCATCTTCAACCACCTTTTCCTGCCTGATGGCAAGAGGCTGGCATGACAGGACTAAACAAAGCAAGGAGATTCTCATACATTCACTCCTGTATTTTGTGACCTCCCTGCTAGGGCAGAATGAACAGATACAAAGGTTGTGGTCAGTTGCCTGAAATTACCATGACATAAATGGGCTGGGGCAGGCAGGAGCCTGTGGGGAACCATGCGAAGAGTCTGCCCAGCCCTAAACCAGGATGTGTGCACGCTAACCTCACCTCCCACCTAATGCTGCTGTGACCCTTCTGAGTCAATTCCCTTCATTCTGTTTCTTCCTCCTCCATGACTCTTCCTCCTCCATGACTCTCTGGGCTCTCACACTGCCACCAGCTCCTTGGGCCCTAATAGAAACTTTGCACAGTCACTTCCAGAATCCCTCTCTACCACCGGTTTCTAGCTTTCATTCTCCAATTACCCCTCCCCACTGCAGCAGAGGTCTCCCCCATCTTCTCACTCATCCCTCTGGGTCTTTGCCCCACAGTCTCTTATGTGAGGGGGAAACCTTTCTTCACCTACCACAAAGTAGGAGATATTAATATCTTTATCTAGCTGTCTGTCTTCCTGCAGCCTGGTCCCTTTCCTGAACTCCAAGCTCAAATGCCCAAATTGTCTAATCAACGTATACATTTGGATGTCCAATATTCATCTCAAGCTGTACAAAAGTGAACTCCCAATTCACCACCACCACCACCCAATAACACAAACTAAACTTACTCTAATGTTATAATTTCCCACATCGATTATTGGCAACTCCATCTTGCCAGTTGTTTAGGGCGAAAACATGGGTGTCATCCTTGACATATTTTTTTCTCTAGCTGTCCACATTTGATCTATTGGTAAATCCTATTGCCTGTACCTTCAAAATGAATCCAGCATTTAAGTTATTCTCTGCTACTATCATTACTGGAGTAACCTCATAACCAATCTTCCCACTTCTACCTAAGTCAATACCCTCAACACTATTATTAGCACCACTATTATTAACCTAAGTGATCTTTTTAAAATGTAAGTCAGATCTAAGCGGACCCTCTAATAGCTCTTAACATTTACTCAAGAGTAAGAGCCAACATCCTTGCACTGACCTACCAGGCCTTATGCCATCTTGCCCCTCTCTGCTCTGATGTCCTTTACCATTTTCTCCCTCAATTACTCTGCTCTAGGTTCACTGGCCTCCTTGTTCCTTCTAACAGGCTAGGTATGCTCCAGCCTCCAGACGTCAGCATTAGGTATCATTTCTGCCTGGAATGCTCTTCTTCAGTTATCCAGGTGGTTACTCCCTCACTACCCTCTAGTTCTTACTTGCATGTTAGTTTCCTAGTGAGACCAGCCCTGAACTCCCTGTTTAAAACTACCCCACTCAAGTCTTCTCTAAGCCTCTTACTTCTCTAAGCCTCTTACATTTTTTGCATGTATCTGGTCACTTTCTACATACTATATTTTTTACTTACACTTCTTTTGTCTACCTCCTGAACACACTCCCAATGTAAGATCCTCGGGAGCAGATTTTTTCCCCTGTGTTCACTGCTGTATTCCCAGTGTCTATAAAGGTGCCTGGCATATAGTGGGTGCTCTATTTGTTGAAGAATAAAAGAATGTGTGAGTGAATACCATCTATTTTCCAGCTTGGCAACCTTATTCTAACCTCTCAAACATTTCAATGTACTTTTTTCTTTTTATTATACAGGGGCTTCTCCTGTGAGTCACCATTCTCTGACACAGCATGCCATTTGTTTGACACCATGCCTTTGCTCATGTTGTACTCAGCCTGCAGAAGCTTCTCTAGTCCTCTTATAATATTGCTTCTAATAACTTTTTATAAGATTGTCTATCCCAGAGTCCGTGAGCTTCATGAGAGAAGGCTTATGTATTGTTCACTATTGTTTCCCTAGCATCTGTCATTGCATAGTGCCTGGCACATAGTAAGTACTTAAATATTTCAATTATTGAATAACAAAGTCATTTTTATTGTGACTCTTTTGGGGACTTCCTCCTCAACTGATCATCATTCTAGGTGGCATTCTTCATGCAGCTGAAAGGGAGTCAGAACAGGCAACAGGGCTAGAGCACACTCCCAGATGAGTTACCCTTAAAGATCTCAGTAACAGCAGGAAAAAGACAGGGGAGATTCTATCATTAGGTTTTTTTCTTTTTCTTTCCTTTTTTTAGAAACAGGGCCCCTCGCTATGTTGCCTAGGCTGGAATGTAGTGGCTATTCACAGGCACAATCCCATTACTGATCAGCACAGGAGTTTTGACCTGCTCCATTTCTGACCTGGGCCAGTTCACCCCTCCTTAGGCATCCTGCTGGTCCCCTACTCTAGGGAAGTCACCACCATATTGATGACAAATTTAGTGCAGATATCTGACCAACATGGCACCATACAGCTCCCAGAACTCCTGGGCTCAACCAATCCCCCAGCCTCAGCCTCCCAAGTATATGGGACCACCATGCCAGGCTATCATTTGGTTTTGACATCTGTCACATTAGGTGTGTGCTTTGGATAAACACAAAAGTACCTCCTCAAAGAGGGAGCCCTGTGGCACTCTAAAAACCTTCCCTTCAGATTTGGGCATATACTGTAGAGAAATCATCAATAAATTTTGCCTGTGAATCAAAAATGCATTGGATTCTTGGCCACCACTTCTTATATGATCATTATTCCCACATTGCTCTTCTGGGCCCAAGCACACCATGGGAAACCATGATAGAATTCAAGCCTGACTTTTACCTTCCAGGCACCTTAAACAAGGGCTTTATCCATAGGGTAGGGCTTGGAGGAGTTGTGTGGAATGCTGACCCATCTGAAATGAAATATGGATTTAAGCTCCTATACCACATGGGAAGTATTTTTTACTTCCTCTACTCTGTCCATCATACACTACATTGAAAATAAGGAGGCACAAACACGTGGCTCTTTGTTTAGAGGTATAGAGTATATTTGGAGAATTCTCTGCCTCGCCTACATGTTAATGGGAAATTTCGATCACAGCCTTTTTCAGGGGGACACAAGTTCAGAAATCTGCAAATTCCTTTTGCTTGGACTGGGTATTCTCCTTGTGTGAACCAGTGCCTTTTGCTGAAATGAGAGTTGAGACCTAGGATGGATTTCCTGGTTAGGTGGCACAAGACAGTTGAGGGCAGAGTTTGAAGCAGTTGTGGGAGTGGCACAGGACCCAGGATGGGCTGGACTGAAGGGAGAGTTGCTGGAGCTGTTTGTCTAGGCACTGGGGGTATTACAGAAGGGGAGGCTGGGCTTTGGCTTCTCTGTTGTCTTCTCCAACTTAGCTCTCCCCACAGGGTCTTTGGTGGGGGCTGGACTCTTCTCAGCTTCTTTTGTACTAGCTTTGGCCACTGTCTCAGTGTCAGAGATGAGAGTAGATTTCTCATGACTTTGATCTTTCACTTCAGGGTTAATCCAGTGCAGAAGGAACTTCATCGTATTTCCCAAGCCAACTTCTGGAGCTTCTGGAAGGGTGGAGATCTTGTGAGTATGGGATGCCCTTACCAGACCCTGTAACACTTGCCCCTGGAAAGTGTGGCCCTGCTAATTTTTGCCCTGTAAAACATGGCCATGAAACATTTGACCCTGAAAAGTTTGGATCTGAAAAATGTGGCCCCTTCAATACTGGACTTGCAAAATTTGGCCCAGGAAATGATAGACCAGTAAGTTGGCCCTTTAAGGCCTAGGCATCCCAGCTTTGGCATTCTCAGGAATCCTTATTTGGATAAGGTCATTCAGCTTACTCCAACAGCCTTGCAGACTATTCTTATCTGGTCATTTTGACCCAGGTAATCCTAGAGGATGTCTCAGGAACTCAAGGTCAGGGAGAAGCCTGATGAAGGTGCTATCATGCAATAGTAAACTGAGAGGATGGAGATGGTGGCTTTACAACTCCAGATAGATCCTTGCTAGTCCCTACTCAAGGCAATGATCTTGGCTAAACTAAAGGGACTGATCCTGGAATAACATTTGGGAAGTCATGGGCTCTGGGGTTCTGTTTAAAAGTGCCCCTATTGGCCCCTGAACCTTCAGCAGAGTTGGGTGTTCTTTCTGATTGGGGAGAGCTCCAATTCTGCACCTCCTTTTCTTTGATTCCCTGCTGCTTTGAATTTCACCAGATCCTCTGTTTTTCCAGCTAGGGTATGGACTTGTCCTCACTCTTGCAAAAGCTTTGACTAAGGGGTCTAGAGTCCTCTGGACCAGGTTGTTCACTCTAGCATTTAGATGAACACAAAATATCTGGGCCACTGTCATGTCCCCACTGTGTTGTGAGATCTCAGAGGCACAGTGGGCAGAACCATGGGGACACTTCTCTGGAACTAGATTGCTTTTAGCTCTGCTGAGCTGCCTTTAGTTCAATGGCAAGCTGTTCTTTTAGGCAGACCCATTCTGGATCTGGGGCACATGGATGCCTGGCAGAATGGGGAGTTCCTGGAGCAATGTTCTCTTGTTAGACTCCTAAAGGATCCTTATGTGGAGAAATTATTTGGGATGGCCACAATTTGTTCCCTGGACTTCTTTGTATTTGTGGGACTTCCCAAATGTATCTCCAGAAATTTCTTTTTTAGGGAGAAATTTAGTTTTGCCAAGAAATTTAGCTTGGGTGCCTTGAGTGATTAGGGGATGTGAGGATCTGTCTGGCTCTTTAGAGGCACCTTTTCCATTCACTTCTATTTCAGTCTGAAACACTTGTACACTGTCTGTACAAGTCTCACTGGCATCTTGAAGGCATAGCCTAGGGCTTACACATTGCTGTTCAGATGAGATTGAGTGAGAGGCTCTGTTGGTCCCATTTGTGATTGCAGACTGCCTACTGATTGCCAGGGCCAGGGTCCTGGTCAGAGCCATGTAATTGAGAACAGGCAGCCCTGACAAGAAGGCCAAAACTTGAGTTTCTGAGTGGCTCCCTGGGACAGGGACAGGCTGCTCAAGAACATCAGTAACAGCATCTGATAAGGCCTATTGCTGGTGGTCAGAGTCCATCAGCATTCAACAGTGTCACTTCCTGGCCAGGCAAGGTGGCTCACGCCTGTAATCCTAGCACTCTGGGAGGCCAAGGGGGGCGGATTACTCAAGGTCAGCAGTTTGAAACCAGCCTCAGCAAGAGTGAGACTGTCTCTACTAAAAATAGAAAGAAATTAATTGACCAACCAAAAATATATAGGAAAAAATTAGCTGGTCATGGTGGTGCATCACTGTAGTCCCAGCTACTCAGGAGGCTGAGGCAGAAGGATTGCTTGAGCCAAGGAGTTTGAGGTTGCTGTGAGCTAGGCTGATGCCACCGCACTCTAGCCAGGGCAACAGAGTGAGACTCTGTCTCAAAAAAGAGTGTCACTTCTTGATCTGTGTGGGGCTAACTGCTGCCTCCAAGTCTAGAAGTAAAGTTTGCTTTCTAGAGGACAGGGAAACCAAGTTGCCATCCAGGCCCCTGGAATGCTGCAGATCCAGTGATTTGTAGTCCCAACAGCTGCAGATGTGGGCAGGGACAATGCCCTGGCATTTGCACATTTGTAGTCTATGTGGCTCTGCATTGTCTTGGCCTGAGCAAGCAACTATGGACTGGCCCTGCTGCCACAATGGATCAGAACAGGCCACTATCCCCACTGGTCTCTGAAGCTGCAGGCTCAGAGGAGACTCATGTAGGTCAGGGCTGTCCTGCTCCAGGGCAGGGATTGCTGGTCAGCAGGGGACAGGGACAGCTGGATAGACTGCTGGATCTTTTGGGGCGGGCTCCAGCAATGATAAATCAACCTGCCATTTCAACCACTTCTGCAGGCAGAATTCTAGCAGCCTCTGGGCATGCTCCTGGAGAATGCTACCTTCCTCTTAGTCTTGAGGACTGAACTGGACTTCCCCAATCAGAGAGGGTCCTGGGTCCAGTGGGACACACTGCAGCATGTCTTAGGGCTCATAGTTTGGTTCTCTGCATTTACAGAGTTCTCTGGATAACAGCTGGCAAACTCCACTGAAACTGGAGCTGCCTCTAAGGCAGATGCAACTCCAAGGCTTTACACTTGGTTAGAGTCAGCAAAGGGACATTGATTTGGGTTTGTCAATGGTCAGGTGGAAAAGCCCAAATGTGGGGAATAAAGTGGGACTAACCGAAATGGAGGAAATTTCAGGTACAGAAGATGGAGAAATACAGAGATGGAGAAATCATTGAAGAGAGAAGGCCTAGGGCTTCCCTGTTGTGGAGAGATCTCTAGAGGCAGACCAGGGACTCATACTTACCTCCTGAGGAAGCCAGCCCTGGCTAGGAAGGGAAACATGGCAACTATTAATGATGGAGTGACTTGTACAGAAAAGAGAAACCACAGTAACATAGCTGCAGATGTGTCCCCCAGGCAATGGACAGAGGCTACTTAGAGGCTGATAGGGAAGAAGGGGCAGATTCAGAGCCATGGGGTTTGGGATTTGCTTACAGTATTAGTTTTGCTCTGAGTCCATAGTAGATCCTTCAAAAACTCAGAAAGCTTGAGTGGACTAGCTAGCTTCCCATGAACCCCAGAGTCAAGAGGATGAAAGTTCATCTTTTCAAAAGTGGCCTTAGAGGTAGCATCCAGGATGAAAGAAATGGTTGTTTATTTGTCTGCTTGTTTGTTTGTTTTCCAGGCTTTGAAAACATTGGGAGCAATGGGTTATAAGCTGCCACAGAAAGGCCTCCACAGATCTTAGGCCCTAGAGTTTGGAAATCGTACCTTTATATCTTTGTACTTAAAGGTACCTCAGGTCCTTTTAGACATAGGAATAGCAGGTGAAGGGAATGCAGAGTCATAGGGTGTTGTTTTAGGTTTGGGAACTCTGAGTTCAGGGAAAGAAAGAGAATCTTGTATCAAGGGCTACTGACCTTTGTCCACCTTGCTGACAGATTTGGAGTTGTTCTTCCTCTCCAGCTGGTTCAGAGGAACTCCAGGCTTCTTAAGACTTGAAGAAGACAGAGATCCTGCATCCTGGGACACACCTGCAACTTGAAATCCCTGCCCTCGCTGGAGGTGGTCAGCCCAGTTATCCTGGACGCTGACTGCATTGGTTGACTGGGCAGCTGATGAGGTTAAAGATTTCTGATCTGGTACTTTTGACAGTGTCAGCCTTAAGGTTGTCATTGAAAGCTCTCTGGAGCTCTGGGCACCCAATTCCTGATGCTGCTCAAAAGACACACTAGACGCAGACAATATCTCTGAGCAAGAGGAGCCCTGAGATGGCGTCAGTGAAGTTGGGGAGATCTGTTTATTCTCACACATCAGCAATTGCTGAATCTCCAGAGCCACAGCATTGCAGATTTTGCAGCAGGGATCTGCACACAGGATTCGCCGCACACTTCCCTCCTGAGGAAGCCAGCCCTGGCTGGGAAGGAAAATAAGGAAACCGTTAATGATGGAGTGACATCTTCTTTCTTAGAAGAGTGTGTCTTAGGGTTGGTACTGCCCTTCCCTAATCCTGCAAGTCCTGGGGCCTGCACCCCCCCCGTGATGTCTACCCTTCTGCTTTGTTTTCCTAAGAAAATGCCATTTTGCAAGATATAGTGGGCTGGGCTGAGGGTGAGGGGCTTATTGGGCAAAGTCTCAGATAACCCATGGGAGGGAGGCATAGCCCTCAGAGAGGACTAGGACCTGGGGTCAGTTCTCTGTTGACCTTGAGAAGCTGAAGTAGGAGAAAAGAGACCAGGCAGATGGGGAGCCAAGTGATCAGCTGATGAGGCATCACCAGTAACACTACCAGGTGGAACCTGGATCAGTCACATTTGAGGCTAAGAAAGCCTAGGGCTGGGATTAAGTATTTCTAAATTATGGAAAATGAGGTCCTTGTCAGATCTCTGCATTCTGAGGACTATAGGATGTCCCTACCCTGTACCCAACATCTCTGGGAATCAGTTCTATTATCTAGAAATCAGAGGATAAGATGATAGGCTCCTGTCTAAGGGCTGTCCTAGGAACTGGCCTCCCTGAACACAGAACCAGAAGAGATAGTGTCAGCAGGGTCCAACAAGGTCAGTGGAATCTGTCCATGGAAGGTTGTAGCTGTAAAGAGAATATGACAATGATGAATTCTTCATGTAAAATCCATTCTCTTGACTGGATAACTTGTCTCATGGCTGAGTGCAACCCTATTTAATGTCTTTTATGAATTATGCACTAGTGAAATCCTAAATTCCAGAACTATTGTGACCCTAACCCAAAGCAAAATTGGGTGACTCTTCTCTCCTGAGATGTCTGAACCCTCCTTTGCCCTGACAACCTTCTCAACCAGTGAACAAACCTCCACTGTGTATGTTTCCCCCACCCAAACCATTATCCCTCTCCTTATCCCTGCCCCAGGCCAAGCTGAGCAATCATCACAGGCCAGGCTGGGAGTGCGAGACTGCAGAGAGAGCAAGACGTCACCTTTTCATGACAGAGAGCAGATTCTGCAGCTTCTCGGCTTCTTCCTGGTAAGTTCTCCCAGCTGAGGAACCAGGATATGGTGTTAAATGGAATAGAAGAGGATTCAAGGACATCCTATAGGAATCTGAAGGCCTTTGAAAGAGAGGAGACTGAAAACCCCAAGAGTCACTGCTTTAAGTCACCCCTGTGTAGAGCTTAACCATTTAGAATGTGTTGTCTCAGACCTCATCTCATTTATCTTCACAGCCACGCTGTGAGCGAGAAAGGATTATTAGTGGTATGCCCATTTTATGGAGAACAAGACTGAGAGATAAAATTACTTCCACAGGGTTATAAAACTAATAAATGATACAGTTAGGGACTTCTGCCCTACTTCCTCATTCTTCATTCTCAGGAGGGTAAGATAGAGAATTTTGGAATGTTCCAAGGCTCTGATTTCCAACCCAAGGAGGTCTTCTGTGAGAAACTGTCATCGGGGGAATTGGAGCCTTCAGTGGTTAGCACTTCAGTGGTTAGCACACCTGGCTCCTGGTACCAGGGGTCATAGAGGGTCAGGATCCATGGGAACCTAACCCAAAGTAGAATCGAGTCAGCAGAGAGATTGGAACTTTACCTCTTGATGTTCTATCTCTAGAGCTTTGTTTGAGTCGCCGGTGACACTTAAAGACAAAAACATTAGAGTGTGAAGCTGGTACACCATTTTTTTTTCCATGTCTAAAATGAAACAAAATCCATAAACATTTCCAAATCTTTTTCTATATTCCAATTTTATATACTCTTCTACCTTTTCTTTCTATATCCTATCTTTTTCATCTCTTTCCCTTCTCTGCTTATTTCTGATTCACTTTGAGGCTCTTCCAGACTCTATGCCTTCCACCCCCATTCCTCTGACAACTTCTATGGGGAGTTCAGGATGAGATAGGAGGAACAGATTAAAGGATGCATGGTTCTAGGAGCCAAAAGACTGTAGCCATCAAAGGCCCTAAATAGCTACCGACCAGAATAATCACCCAAATTGGGGGCAGTTCTGGGATTCAGTGAGGAAACCCTTGTTTTTTTGTTTGTTTGTTTGTTTTAAAGGAATAGTTGAGGGTAACAAGAGAAAGTGGATGGATAAAATCTTGTTTGAGGCTTATCGATTCAGTCATGGTCATAGTATTTCCCTACCCGGCAACTGCTCCTGTTAGGTCCCAACCTTAATTCTTGTACACTCTTTTTCAATCGCCACATAATTAATGCAATGATGCAGATGGATCCACAGGTGTAGAAGGGATAGCCAACATCCCACAGAACAAATGTAGGGCTCAACATGATCTAAAACTCACTAGCCATCCCTTTTCCTAGGCTTCCAGTGTCTTGGAACCTAATGCCTTCACATTCTAGATCTTGTCCTTTCTGCCTCACAGAAGTTGGATCCAAACTACCAGACTGCATCACAAAGCCCTCCTGTTCCACAAGCCAGGGATAGCATCACAGACCTTTATTTGTTTTAGAGAAGCTCATCTGGTGATTCAGTGTTCAGATGAGGGTGTCTGGTTATCTTTATGGGCTGCAGCCTGGGACAAAAGGTACCAAGGTCACAGGCAGCATATACTTTTTGACCCTGTTGCTATTCTTTATACCTGATAGCTCAGCTCCCTCCATTGCTACAGTTGCGGGCACCCATCCCCAGATTACTAAGTCTTTGTACACACTAAAAAACACACTAGAGCACAGGGCAGGCATCATATTGCTAAGTCTTAGAAACAGAATTTTGATGTCACAGGCAATGATTGTGGATCAGTATCAAGAGGCTCAAGAAGAGGAACATGGGCCAGGCGCAGTGGCTCACGCATGAATCCTAGCACTCTGGGAAGCTGAGGTGGGTGATTGCTTAAGGTCAGGAATTTGAAACCAGCCTGAGCAAGAGCAAGACCCTGTCTCTACTAAAAATAGAAAGAAATTAATTGGCCAATTAAAAATATATGTAGAAAAAAATTAGCCAGCAGATGCGGGGTGCTAGGCCTGGAGTCCCAGCTACGCGGAGCTGAGAGCGCCTCGCGCCAGCGCGCTGAGGCGGGGCTGCGAGCTCAGGCTGATCTGCATCGACACTCTACTCATCGCCTGGACACACACACGGAGATCTGCTCAAAAAAATACATAACTAATAACATAAACTGAAAAAACGAAGCGGAACTAGTCATCGATGGTCACGCCCCGCCGCAAGTGTAAGCCTGCTGAGAGTGAAGAGAAGGACCTCCAGCGCGCGGAGTCCGTTCGGTCCCAGAGACACCGCAGGTTGTCCAGCTTGAGAGTCGCGGGAGAGAAATGTACAGCTCGGTCATGCTATTCTTTTGGGGAAGGCGACATTCCATCCGAGCCCACGCTCTCAGAGCTCTGTCCACCGCTTCGATTTCAGAATGGCCTCTACAGAGTCTTACAGTATCTGGCCTATCATGCGATAGGTTTATGGCAAAGTACTTTAAGATAAGGCCACAGAAGACGCTCCGTTAAATTCCGAGCCCATCGTTGGAATGGTTGCTGAAAGAGGTTTTATGAAAATCTGAACGCTTCTCTCAACCTCCTTAACCTAGTACCTACCGCTCCTATGAGTGACGAGCTGATCACACGTTAATATGAACAGGACCCCTGGCAACATCTACTACTTGCCTCCAAGCGGCAGCGCGCGAGGATTCTGGATCTTCTTGAGAAGTTCTTTCCCATATAAGAGTATCTTAGCTCAAAATCTCGAAAAGGTAGTATTCAGTCGCTTTCTTCTGGCATTCAGCCTCCACAGAACCGGTAGGCGGACGCACCTTTAATACTGCCACTCAGCCGCTAAGTTGCACAGTATCAAGGTACAAAGACATTTGAGTTGGTTGCCTGCGTTTCCTCTCAAATACACTAAAGGTACATCTAGTCAGCCGGGCGCTGTGGCTCACGGCCTTGGTAATCCTAAGCTCTGAGTGAGGCCGAGGCGGCTGAGGTGGCTCAAGGTCAGAGTCAAAACCAGCCTTGAGGCGAACAGGAGCGGAGAGGTCCCCGTCTGCGTACTCAGCGGTAGAATAGAGAAGAAGAGGACCTTAATGGCCAATGCAGGGGCGGGCGGCGCGGGGGGTGGGGCGGCGCGCTGCGCCTTAGTATGCGGGGGCTAGGGTATATAAAATAGCCGGCTATGGTGGCGCATGCCTGTAGCCCAGCTACTCGGGAGGCTGAGGCAGAAGGATCACGCGAGCCCAGGAGTTTGAGGTTGCTGTGAGCTAGGCTGACGCCGACCCACTCTACGCCTGACAACACAGTGAGACTCGTCTCAAAAAAAAAAAAAAAAAAAAAAAAAAAAAAATCTAGTTTCAAAGACAAGACTAATTCACATGATGCGAGAGCCAACCTTACCAGGGGCTGGGGAAGGGGGAAATAAGGGGTTATCGTTTAATGAGTACAGGGTTTCTGCTTGGAATGATGAATACAACCATTCCATATTTAAGTGAATGTACTTTATGTCACTGAATTGTACACTTACAAATGATAAAATGCTAAATTTTATGTTAAGTATATCTTACCACAATTAAAAAACAAACAACCCAAACCAAAAACATTCATTAGCATAAGAATTTTTTACTAACTCTAAGAAAGAATATTCTGAAAATAATTTGACACAGAGAAATAGATTAGTGAATGTTTTCCTTAAATATACTTCTTATATCTACAAAAAAATTGATTCTTACATTAAAGATAACTAAACAAGAGTCCCACCTGAAATGGGATAGATTTGAGTCATTTCAACATCTTCCCTGAACTTGCAAATTCCATAATATAGGAAGAGAAGACTTTTTCAGCCAAAGAGCACTGAGCAACAGGTTAACAAAAGTTAATTAAAAAGCAGCTTGCATCAGCTTTTTAGTAGTAAGTCAACATACCTACAAAGTAACTCATATCTTTTGTTTCTTTTATTACTCTTACCCAACCAGCCTGCGTCTTGCACCTGCTTCTGCCCTTTATGCGGCTGCAACAGTTCTCATGGCCCATCAGCCTGACCCCTTGCCCCAGGAAAACCACCACATTCTACAGACCTGGCACCTGTTCCAACCAGTGCATTATTTACCTTACAGATAACCCACAGCCACTGCCATTCCACTGAGCCATGAAAACCATCTGCTGCAAACTCCCCTCCAGCCACTCACCTAGGCCTTGCTCCTCTGTCTCAGGGCTGAGCAGTTACAGCCAAGTGCAGAGCCCAAAATAGTATTATGCCTTTTTGTAGAGTAGGCCTTTAGTTTAGGTTTGTTTACTGATCTGGTGCCCCTCAGCAGAGGGTGCTTGTGTGGATAGGACAGTGGGATTGTGTCTTCGTGGGCATGGACCATTACATTTGCCTTTCTCATCTCTTGATTTAGAGAGAGCAGCAAACAAGGGCGAGAAAGTACATGAAAAGCTTCTGTGGACTCTGGAGGCCTACACAACTGTAAGGATTCTTCATTTGTTTCTAGAAAACTTGCTTAAGCCAGACCCTGCTTTCATTATAATGCTGCAGTGCCACAGTTGTTGTCATAGAATTTCTTCAGGAAACTGTTCATGGCTACCACTTCATAAGTAGCATGGTTCAGCTTCAGGTAGAAAGAAAAAAAAAAAGATTATAACATAAGTAGCATGGGTCATATATCCTTGTAAAGAAAAATCCTGCCAGACATGCCACAGATGTGGTCTGTTCCCTCCACGCAAGCCTTACTAGGAGCTTCGCCGTGTCTTCTTATTCGGAAAATACTAGCAAACGCCTAAGATGGACCGAGATTGCTGGGATGGGGAGAGCATAGATGCTGCCATTCAAAGCAGCAATGCTATTCTACATGAGCTTCTTTGTTACATGCCCAAGAGCTAAATTTCCAGGGAGTCCTACAGGAAACAACCAGAGTAGTGTAAGCAGCAAGACACCAGAGCTCACGCCGCAGGTTACTGCAGTGTGCAGAGGTGCAGTCAAGAGGCACTAGAGGGCAGCACGTGCCCTCCCAATACTCCTGGTCCTGCCGCATCTCACACTGACAGGTGCTTTCTGAGTCATCTGCTCCAGTGGCTCTCAACTGCTGGCCTTACATCAGAATCACTGGGGCGCTTATTAAAAATATGGATCTCCTGGCTCACCCAGACCCTAATGAATCAGAATCTCAGCAGACAGCATCCAGCAACCTATATAAATGAATATAAAAAATATCCTTAAGCAATAGGGCACTGGTTAAGGGTGTTTATTTGGGAGCAACTGTCTTCAAAGAGCAATATTCAATATTGTTAAGCCTTGGCGAGACTTGATGAAACCATGTGCCCTTCCTCATGCAAAATTGATTCAATTTCATAGGCAGGGGCTTCACTTATGGACACCTAGGAACTCAGGGAGCCTGGTTAAGAAACTTGAGTATTAATAGCCAAGCCAATGACCACACTCAGAAATGGATCCTCAGCAAGGCCAGAGTCTTCATATTTTAAGAAGTGACAGCAAATAGGCTGGGTGTGGTGGTCATGCTTGTAATCTTGACTTGGAGGCCAAAGTGGAGGATCAATTGAATCCAGGAGTTTGAAATCCAGCCTGGGCACATAGCCAGACCCTGTCTTCACAAAAAATTTTTAAAAATCTGGGTATGTGGTGCATGCCTGTAGTCCCAGCTACGGGGGAGGCTGAGCCAGGAGGAACGCTTGAGCCCAGGAGTTTGATGTTGCAGTGAGCTATGGTCATTTCACTACACTCTAACTGCGGCAACAGAGCAAGACTCTGTCTCAAAAAAAAAAAAAACTTACAGCAAAATAAGGAAACAGAGAAGATACAAATTACCAATATTGAGAATGAGAGAAATGATTCACCACAAATTCCAAAGATATTAAAAGAATAATAAATTTGTAATATGAAAGCTTTAATGTCTATAAATTGACAACTTAGATAAAGTGGACTGCTATGATTTAACTATGTCCCTTCCAAAATTCATGTGTTGGAAACTTAATCCCCAGTGTAACTGTTGGGATGTGTAGGCTTTTGGGAGGTGTTCAGATCATGAGGGCAGAACAGATTAATGCTGCTATAAAAAGGGTTCTCTCTCTTCTGCTCTTCTGCTGTGTGGGGATGCAATGTTTGTCCCCTTTTCACCCTTCCACCTTCTGCCATGTGAGGATGCAGCAAGGAAGCCCTCATCAGATGCTGGTGACTTTCCAAACTCCAGAAGTGTCAGAGAATGAATTTCTGTTCTTTCTAAATTACCCACTTTGTGGTATCTTTCATATCAACACAAAATGCATAGACATGAATTTGAAAGAAACAAACTATCAAAACTTACTCAAGAAGAATAACCCAAATAGCCTAATAGCTATTTAAAGAGATTGCACTTATAGTTAAAATCTTATCACACACAAAAAAATGTTGTCATAAAGAAACTCCAGGCCCATATTTCTTCACTGGTGAATTCTACCAAATAGTTTAGGAAGAAGTGATACCAATTCTATACAAATTCTTCCAAAAATTTAAAGAGAAGAAAATACTTCTCAATTCATTGTTTGAGGCCAGCATTGCCTTGATACCAAATCCAAGGACATTACAAGAATAGAAAACTATAGGCCAAAATTCTTCAGGAAAACATATGCAAAAATTCTTAACAATATTATAGCCAATCACATATGTAAAATGTGTGATACATAATGACCAAGGAGTTTATCCCAGGAATTGTAGGGTTGGTTTAACACTCAGTGTTGATCATTGAAATTCACTGTGTTAACAAACTAAGAAGGAAAAACCCATGATAAGCTCAAAAGATGCAGAAAAAACATTTGACAAAATCCAACACCCCTTCCTCATAAAAACTGTAGCAAGCTCAAAACAAAAGTTCCACAGACTGATAAAAGAGTATCTACAAAAAACTTACATCCTGCTATTAAAAGACCGATGCTTTCCCCCTCAAGATCAGGGACCAGGCAAGGATGTCCACTGTCAACAGTTCTTTTCAACATTCCACAGAACGGTCTGGCCAGTTTAATCGAGCAAGAAAATAACAAAAGGCATCCATAATGGAAAGGGAGAAGTAAAACTACCTTAATTTGCAAATAGCATGATTGTTTATGTAGAAAATATTATGGAATCAACCTATAAAAAAAGCTACTAGAACTAATAAGTGAGTTAAGCAAGGTTGAATGATACCAGAGCAAGGGACAAAAATCAACTGGATTTTTATGTACTTTCAACAATCATAAATTGAAATTTTAAAAAAATACCACTCACAACAGCATCAAAAACTGTGGTGTGCTTAGAGATAAATCTGACAAAACATGTGAAATACACACCCAAAACTGCAAAATACTTCTCAGAAAATGTAAAGATCTCCATAAATGGAGAGATATACTTTGTTCATGGATCAGAAGTAATATTGTTTAGATGTCATTGCTCCCCAAGTTGATCTACAGATTTAGGAAGAAAGGGAATTAACCCATTCTGAGCACTGAGACTGAGCACCATTACCAGGGGCCAGGCCCATCACACACATCACTTCATTCAGTGCTTACCACCAGCCAGACCCAGGTATTGTTATTCCATGTTATATAAGAGGAAACTAAATAACCAAGAAAAGTAACTAGTCAAAGGCCACAGCAACTTGGTGATGGATAGAAAGTTTGATTCTAAACTCCACTAAGCCTTGTCACCTCCATGTCATTCAAGTGGAGAGCATATAAACACTTGGTATGATTATAAATACAATGTCTGAAATCACAGACTACTTACATGTCCATTAGTTTTTGAAAAGAAGGATGACAGTAATAAAAGAAATTTTAAAATGGGAGCCAAAGAGCAAGGCTGGATCCAAAGGTCTCCAGTGTCATCCAGGTGCACACCTAGTTCCTCTCATCAGGTGTGTTCCTCAGCTGCAAGAGAGGCATCAAGCTGTCACAGCCCAGTGACACTAGCATCTGAGATTGTTCCACTTACATCCCTGACTTGATTATAGGTTCATCAAATACCTTCTGAGTAGAATAGAACTTGCAATGTAAATAGACCTGTAAGAAGATAATGCCATGACCAGCAGGTGGAAGTCTTCCAGGGTTATATTTTTCAGTGTAAATTAATGGATCAGCATTCTGGCTTATGCCTCAATCTCTTTGCAGTTTAATTACAAGTGGGTCCATCCCAAAGAAACCATTTAGCTCAGAGAACCATGACAAAATGGAGCCTCCATGTATAAAGCTGAGAAATGCTGACTCCTAGTTCTCCTTCCTCTCTGTTCCTCCTAGTCAGTCTCTCTCCTCCTGACCAGCTACCAAGGCAGGGAGAACAGCCTAAACACCAGGCTGCCGTAAGGACCACAATCCCCAGCCTCCTAACAGAGGAGATTGAGCAACACCTTTTCTCATCTAAGCCTTCCTCTTGTGTGCCTTAAACTTTCTCCCTATTAGTTGAAAGTGGTGTCCATTAAAAGCTATTTATTGAATAAAGCATTGTGGGAATTATAATGTTATCTAGAAGTGAATCCTGATAACTTAAAAGTTATATATTTTCAGCATAGTAGGAAATAAGTATCTATACAGCAATACTCTAAGTATCTGACAGTGTGCCTGGTATATAATCTCCTTATAAATATTACATAAAACTGCTATATAAATCTCCTATAAAGGGGAGAGAGATTATTTTTGGCTGATGTGATCAGGGAAAGTTTCCTATAGAAGATGGCATTCAAGCTGGTGCTTGAAGCAGAGAGAAGATTTTATATGGAGTTGGAAGAGGGAGTGATCCAAATGCAGGAACTGACATGCATAAGCTGCTAATGTCTCCATGTGTTGATAATATGTGGAGATAATAGAAGGATTCCTGAAATATTTATCTTACTGTGGTTGCATTTTATTTTGTATATATTTACTCTCAAGTAAGTTTTAGATTTTGTCTTTGTGTGGAAACTGAGGTTGTGAATATCTCCTTGTGAATATGTTTTCCTGCATCACGTGGACATGAACTACGGAGATGGGTCTTCAGAACCTGACCATATGTGTTTCTAGGTATAAACGTCTGTGTGGGTGCATTTCTCTACACAGATTTTTTGGTCTTTGTGGGTGTGTGCACATGCAGTCCTGAGGGATGAGAAGGAAAGAGAGGAAGGATTAGAGGGGAGGAGAAGGGAGAGGAATAGAGAGTAAGAAGTTGTTGAGAGTGTTGGGGTTCAGAAAGTGATACCCCAGACACTGATACTTTGACCTGCTGAAAGGCCTTAGAAGCTGCCCCAGAATCAAGGTCCCTTTAACCTTATCTTGTTCCCTCCACTCAAAGTGCAAGGAGGGACTCTCTTTGGAATTTCCTAATCTAACAAAGAAAGCTCCTTTCCAAAAGAAAAGAAATTGTTTTAGACCCTCTCCCTAGGGATCTCATCAAATAACCAGTAAAGATCAGACTTTTCATCTCTTCTTCTCAGGGCAGCTCCAAGGGATTTCCTGGGGACTTTACTATGTAAT